GGTGCTGGATGGCCACACCATTTCTCCCTGGTGTGTGACATGCAGGTTTGTAATAGGTGCTCACGAACAGCACTTTCCCCTACGGTGCAGCGAAAGGCTAAACAGAGACCTTTGTGTTTGTGTTTTGTGTGCACAAGCCTCCTTGCCGCAAGTGAGTGCATGTGTGTGTTTGAAATGTCAAAACGCATTGGAGTGAGTGAATTCAATTTCCTTGTTTGTGTGTGTGTGTGCAGTTGTTTAAAGAGTGGTCAAAGCACTCGTATATACACGCATTGTGTACATTTAGGCATTTTATACGAGATACAAAATACAATAACAGCATAAAATTATAATTATGGCAAGACAAGTCACGACTCAAAGTTCACGGCTGAGCGGGCAATGTCAGCGGAAAGCGTGTTATGATCTCTTACATAAACCGGCACGAGTCAACATATTTTTCTCATTAGCAAAAAGAAAACGAGTCCATAACACATTCGTCGATTACACTTCCTTAAAAATAAAAAAATAAACATAAAATCGTACATGTGCTCTGAAAGGCCATTGCAAAGAAATATCGCCAATTGCAGATTTTTTTTGTCCTTGTAAGGCCACACACACGGTGTTATTCACGAAGGGTGGCGAGGCGTTCTCTGTTTCGTGTGCTTGTGCATCGCTGCGAACGCAGCGGTAGCGGAGTCACCAAACATGAATGTTTTATCATCAGCCACGCTTCGAATTCGCAACGTTATTCTTGTTAGATGCTTGGTCTTCTTTGTGCTTATGTATCACAACAGATTGAATGTTAACAACAAACGTAGGATTGAGTATTAGATGTGGGAAAGGGTGGGGGAAGGTCAGGAATTGTGTTGGTTAAATTGTACTCTTAATAAGACGGAAAAAAAACGTGAAATCTTAAATTCACAATCGATGAAGAAACAAAAAAGGTATTATTTAGTAAGTGCCGCTTTTCGCACAACTATTGCGTGCGTTTTTAAAAAAAAAAGTCAAGATATAAATATTTGTTCAACCGACTTAACAACAACTTGTTGATCCACAGATGAGCGTGCGTCTCAAGTAAAGTTGCACTACAGAATGGCCGGTACACGTGACTACGCGAGGACGTTTACTTTCGTGAGCTGCGCTTCACCGCTGCACTTTTAAAATAACCAGCAGGCCGATAAGTGCCATAACGGCGAACGGTGAGTTATGCAAACGCTCCCCTCTTTATATCAAGCAGCACAAATACAATACACATACGTAACAAACAAAAAACTTTAATAGTTTCTTCTTCATTATTATGATACTTCTTCTGCACGGAACGAACACTGCTGCCACGACTATAGGGACTCCCACACGTGGCTGGGTTCTAACAAAAGGCAAAAGATATCAAGCAAAAGCCCCCGGGGGTGCACTCCCCCCCCACCTCCTCGCCCGCTCATCCATGACCCCCTTTTATACGATTGTTGGTGGTCCCGGCCTCTCTCACGCACGGCCAAAACCCAGGCCCCCTCCTGCCCCCCCCCTTCCTTAAGATCAGAGTCACGAGTTGGGCGGCGAGAGAGAGAGATGCTATCGGGTTTCTGCATTCAAGACGTTACGGGTTTCTCAGTCTATAGCCAGCAGCAGCAGCAGGACAGGGTCCAGGTGGACTCAGCACCGATGGGCGACGCAGCGTGGCTCGTGTGGTGTTTAGCTACACGCGTGGCCGGACGGCGACTCGCTACCCTCCCCAGACGTTGCATGTGGATTCGGGGCTTGTTCGGTGGGGCAATCGGAAGGTTGCGAGTTCGAATCTTGTCTCAAGCGGCGGTGGGGGGTGCGGGGAGGTTGACTCGGCCCATCGTCACACTTTGGGGGGGGGGGGCGATAAAAGGAGTACTAAACTTTGTGGGGAAGTCAAGAGCGGTTTGTCCAATGGGTAGACTCACCCCCTACCATAGGAATGTGGAATTTCCATCACTGGCTCACAGTGATAAACGGGAGGTGAGCGCTGTATTGATGCTCGTTCGAGCTGGAGATCGCTTTGACTTGTCAACCAAAGTTCACCGATACGACTAACGGGGCCTTTGGTGCTATGTAGTCGTGCCAGGTGGGATGATCAACACGTGTTTTTTTTACATTATGAATGCATTATGATGCTGGAAGCTGGATATAAGCACACTCCTCAGGAGCAAGGCCAGCTATGCTTATATCCCAAGTAGTGTGCTTGTGTTAGAGATACCCTTCACCTTCTACATAACCAGTGCGATATTGCGATGATGTTGCTCATACCTGAACTGTGCTTATAAAAGGTGAGCTTATATCCGGATTCTATTGGAATTATTATTCGTATCGGTATTCTGAGTTCTGCTCGATACTTTACTTTTAAAAACGCAGCTAGTGCCAAAGCACCCCTCTGGGTCATTATGTCAGGACGCTCATGCAAATGAGTCTTCAAAGTCTGAGAATATCTTTGGCAAACAAATACATTATTATAAAGGAACCGTAACTTAGACGTAACCATAACAGTTATGTAAGAGAAATGTCTGCTGCAAACATTATCTGGGCATACTCTTTGGTTTAATTCGGTTAAGTCACGTAGGTAAAAAACAAATTAAAATAAAATAAACAATTTTTATTTGTTTTTTACCTACGTGACTTTACCTAATAAAAGCAAGGAGTATGAATTATTGCAGTCACGAAAGCTTCAAATCTAGAATTATCTGGGCAATTCCGTGGGGAAAGATTTGTGTCCACGTAGCCAATGAGTTAGATTTTTAAAAAACTATCTTAACAGAGACACACGTCCGGTATCAATGGCTCTTCGTCGTCTTAGCCGTGATTGATGCACTGCTGGACGGAGGCTGCACCAAGCCATCGCCATCTCTCGAGGGGTGTGTATCTCGATGCCGCGATCCGTCGATCCAACCATCATCTGCATACGTGCAGGATTCTGCTGGCTCCATCTCCCCAGAGGTGGTCCTCTGGAGAGCGTTTTCCTTCCTGGTGATTATAAACTATTTTACCAGGTAAGGCCCACTAAACTATGTGGCTCTTTTTCAGAAGCGACCTGGCCACAAATGATAGCTCAACGAAGTGGCTTATCGTGTAAAAATTTATAGCAGCCAAATACTCTATATGCATGTTTCTAAATGTGGAGGGGGAAACCGGAAGACCCATATAAAAACCCACGCGAACACAGGGATAACATGCAAACTCCTATATACAGGCGTCAGGGTCGGGACCGAACTCACGACCTCCTGTATACCAGGCGAGGTAGTTAACATCTCACCACTGTGGCGACCCTATCTCATGACCCCTTACTCCTCCTCCTGCGGCTGCACCACATCGCCTGCGATCTGGCTATAACAACAAAAACCAAAGCTCAGCTGTTATCCGTGCGCCACGCAGCATTATCCACGTCGACGCACCTCCTCGCAAAATTTACCAACGCGGCTCTCTTCGGGCACCCCCCCCCCCGCCCCCCAACGTCCGCGGCATCAAACGTCGCGCCAGTCAGATCGACCGCGGCTGAGCCGGCGAGTGGGGCGCGCCGAGAGTGGGCCCGGCATTCGGGGGGCTCTGACAATGTGAGTGGGGGGGCCCTGATAATGGGGGGGGGGCTGACAATGGGGGGGGGGGGCCCAGAGAATGCGACATGCGCTCAACAGGGTGGAAAGGGAGCAAGGGTTCAAAGGCATCACAAACAACCTCCGCTCTGCACCCAATTAGGATCGCGGCCAGCCAGCGATTGAGGACGGCAAACAAAGGCCGCGTTATTGCGCGTCGGCCCTGCCGCTGCGTGCATTAAATCGCCCCCCACCCACCCACCCCCCTGTCGCTTCCCATTTGATGTGTCATGAAAAGGGCTGCCCCCTCCGCCCGTCCCGTTACACCGGGGCCACATGCCCCCAACCTGCCCCCCCCACCCGCGCCCTCCACCCATCCCCCACCCAGCGGGCCCCGCTAAGCCCAGCTGCACCACCGTTCAACCTGGGAGAGGGGAGGGGAGGAGGGGCGGGTGAGGACTCGCCAAGAGCTGTGACGGTACGAGTTGGGTTGTAGCTCTACAATGCGCAGGAGGTGCGACTGCACCAGGGCTCCACGTGTCGAGGAGGTCCAGGCACCGTGTTACAAAGAGGGACAGGGACAGCGCTCCCCCCCCCCCACCACCCCATTTCATTCCTTGCACCAGGGGGACCCGATGCCTCCTGCCACGCTACGCCGCTGGAGGGTGACCTGGACCCAAAGACGCGCGTGCCGCCGAGTTTAGCGTGAGCGCAAACTGCACTTGTTCATTGCACCTCTACGGACACGCGGGAGCCGTGCCGCCAAACTGGAGCCATCGCCGTCAACCCGGGGCGCAGCGGGAGCCACGTAGAAACCATCAGAACCCAAAGGAGAATCAACGGAGCCACCACCCGATCCCACAACCCAAAGAGGCCACCGAAGACCATGAGTAGAAACCATCAGAACCCAAAGGAGAATCAACGGAGCCACCACCCGATCCCACGACCCAGAGAGGCCACCGAAGACCATGAGTAGAAACCATCAGAACCCAAAGGAGAATCAACGGAGCCACCACCCGATCCCACGACCCAAAGAGGCCACCGAAGACCATGAGATTCCAGCAATTTCCATCAGAGGCTCCACATCGCACACGCAAAGGGACCGCACGGAACAAACAAACTATTCAGACCCTCCTGCGGCCACACTTACCAACCACTCACTTCTTGCGTTTGTCGGTTTCAAAATGCGGATTATAAAGGGAAAAAAAAAATCTGAATAGGAACTGAGCACACGAATGAGAGTGACTCGCGTGTGTACAGAATGTTAAAGCATTTTGAGCATCTCCTATTAGCAAGGTCGGCTACGTATGGTGCGAAAGAAGTTAAATATAGATATATGTTGGCTATGAGTGGGAATTGTATTTGAGTCACCGGGTTCGTAGCACGATGCGCCAACTTGCTCGCCTCCCTCGCTCTCCGCAAGCTCTCTCACGCTCTCTCACGCTCGCTCAAAAGCAGAGGCTGGGGACTCACAGCGAGCGGTAAACTCCACCGCGGCGAACTCGCGCTCGCCGCTCGCAGGGAAGGGCACCGGGTCCACGGTGATGTAGTAGTCGGCTCCAAACTGCAGGTAGTCGAAGCCGTCGTAAACGAACTCCTGCGGAGAACACACGGTCGAGATTGAACCCACGATGTCCTGTAAACCAGGCAAGGTAGTTAACATCTTGCCACCGTGGCGCCTCCCCATCCCCCCAACTCAGCGTGAGGAGGCCTTCATCCAGCAGTGGACCGACACAAGTTTCTAAATTGTTGTTGTTATTATTACTACTACGTGTGAACCCGCAATCCAACCTTGTCAACGTCGGCAGCAGTGAGCGGATTTTCCAGCAGGATCTGCTCGCACTTGGAGTAGCCGAAGTCCCCGCGTAGACCCTGGAGGTTCACCTGGTACCCACGCAAAGCCTCAACACCTGTACCACGCGCACAGACACACACACGCAGACACACACGTCACGCGTCACGATCCGCCAACTATCGCGCGTCAACGTTTCCACAACCACCGAGAAGCAAACCGCTCTGGTTCATGAATGGGGAAAACTAAAAACTTTACTTGTTATTTTACCAGGTAAGTGCCCACTGAGCTATATAGCTCGTTTTCAGAAGAGACCTGGCCACAAATAATAGCACAACGAAGTGGCTTGTCATGTGGAAATTAATAGCACCACGGCGGCGAGATGTTAACTACCTCGCCCGATATACAGAACGTCGTGGGTTCGATCCCGACCCTGACATCTAAATACATGGAGTTTGCATGTCCTCCCTGTGGTCGCAAGGATTTTTCTTTGGGTCTTCCGGTTTTTCCCTCCACCTTGAGAAACATGTGTTTAGACTATTCAGCTGCTATAATTTTCCACATGATGAGCCACTTTGTTGAGCTATCGATTGTGGTCACGTCAACTTCTAAACAAGGGCTATATAGCTCAGTGGGCCTTACCTGGTAAAATAAATAGTAAAATGATTTAAAGTAGTTATGAGATTGTGGCGCGAGAGTGGAAGTGTTAACGTCCTGCAGACTTGAGAGTTCACAGGCTGATTGGTGATTTATAAGAAGCTGTATAAAAAGATAAAGCAATTTGTTACCCTTTATTTTGGAGGAGGCAGGGCATGAATCTTATAAACAAGGAAGAAAAACCGTGCATACCCATGGATTCTGTAATGCTTTCCAGCGCCCATTTATCTCCGTAAGTAGAGCATTTAATTCCTCAAAAAGAGACATGAACACGTGATCACATCACCAGGAGCAAAGGCGCACACGTGTCGTGTGAAGTCACCACGTTGGCCGAGAAGGTTTACCAAATTTGTCCCTGGGTTTTTAAAAAAAAAATTGCTCTTTGATCAATTTGCCCGATTTTGTCTGGCCCAATTCCATTATAGCACCACAACGCAACGCAATACCAACGGATCATTTACGCTGGGGTCACCGTTTACGAGAATTATCATGACCCAATGTTCCAGACGACAGATAGACGGACAGGCACAGCTAGCGCATTGACCCTTTTCGACCAGAGATGGAAAGTTTGAGCACTTCAGGGAGCACCTGCTTGGGGACAAAGTCACAGGCTCCACCCGCCCCTCAGCTTTTGCATCCCGAGGCCCAGGGCATCGTCCAGGCAGTGAAAGAGTTCCTTTGTTAACATCGAGACGGTAAGTGAGACGCACACGGAGCAGGCCTATCCCCCTTATCCGGGGCCGAGAACGCGGCGGAAAGAAACAAATCTGCCTCGGCGGCCGTTCGCTTCGGTAGCTCAGAAGCCGGAGGTGGGGGGGGGGGGGAGGAGGTGGGCGTTTGTGAAGAACTAAAACACCGTTTAAAACAAACTTGTCTCCCGAAACACAAAAGAAAAACAGAAAACAGGACGTAACGCACGAACGCGCGGACACAGCGGCGGCGGTGAGGGTCACAAGGCGGCCGAACCTTAAACCTGATCCAGAATGGGAGAAGGGAGGTGGGGAGAGGTGATGGTGGGGAGAGGTGATCGGGGGGGGGGGGGGGGGGTGGGGAGAGGTGATCAGGGGAGGTGGGGAGAGGTGATCAGGGGGGGTGGGGAGAGGTGATCAGAGTGGGGGGAAGGTGGGGAGAGGTGATCAGAGTGGGGGGGAGAGGTGATCAGGGTGGGGGGGGGGAGAGGTGATCAGGGTGGGGGGGGGAGAGGTGATCAGGGTGGGGGGGGGGGGAGGTGATCAAGGTGGCGTGGTGGGGGGAAAGGTGGGGAGAGGTGATCCGAGTAGGGGGGGGGGGGGGTGGGGAGAGGTGATCAGGGTGGGGGGAGGGTCCTGGAAGTGACTCCCTCACACGTGAGCTGGAGCTGCAACTTCAGCAGCCCCACTAGCGAGGCTCCGCATCCATTTACTGAACAAACACAGGGGCGCGTCTTCCACTGCTATGCAAACCCACCCACACGCAGACATACAAAGACCCCCGTATAGCCTGAACAGTCTCGTGGGACAAGTGCTGTTAGCGAGTAACACCCAAGAAGGCCGCTACGGCACACGAGGTGGTGGGTGGGTTAAGAAGAGCGCCGGCACAAAAGATGAAACCTAATATTGAAGACTGTCACGACATTTTTCAGTTACTCTTTCTCAAGAGTGTGTGACACTTGTGTTTGCGAATGCAAGCTTTCATCTTTGAGCAGAACACCGAGTTTGGCATTGGCCGTCAGCAGTGATAACACCACTATCTTGCGAGCACCCTTGAACTCTTTTGATGAACGTGACGCTTGTGTATCCGAATAAAAGCTGTGTAACTTATACTTGACTTTGGCACTGGTTGTGATGAGAGAAGAGTTCAACGGCAGTGGCACTATCTTGACATTAGCCGGAGGGAGGAGTAGGAGAAGCGGAGGGTGAAATAGACATTGTTTATATATTAAAAACCACACAGACACACGCCACACACGAACGTACGGACGGACGCCGGGGGAGCGTCCAGCTGAAGAGGGTTAAGAGCCTGGTGCACGCGGGGAGATCGTCTCGCAATCCGCGCCCGCTGCCGACAGAACCCCAGGCCAGAGTAAGCAAGGGGGAACATGACTTCTCCGCACAGCCGAGAGCATCGCGACTGACATGACCGCTCAAAAAATAACACGGGGGAGGGGGGGGGGGTGAAACTCGTGTGCTCACGCGGGCGCGCGCGCAATGAGTCGAGCCGCAGGAGACGCGCATGGACGGTCGCGTGCGACGTACGCTCCCATTCAAAAGATCCGGCGAGCGGCGGGGCCCGCCGGGGCCCGCCGGGGGGGCATCGACTCCGCCACCGGTCGCCCCGAGGGGCTCGCCGAGTCGAGCCGGGGTGCGCCGTCAGCGCGGCCTCCGACGGCTCGACGCGTGCCCTCCCACGCGTCACGATCGGAGGGACGGAGAGGCGGCGGCGGTGGCGTGTGGGGGCCAAGGGCCGGCCGGCAGCAGCGTAAGGACTTCCACCCTCCACCCCCCCCCCCCCCCCCCCCCCCCCCCGTCAACAATAAGGAGGAAGAGAAACAGCAGCAGTGGTAGCACGAGGAGGAGAAGAGAGGGTCAAGTAAATGTCACGCCTGGCTGCGAGTGTTTGATGCCGCGGAAGGCCGGCCGTGGCAAGTGCTCGCGAGGCAATTAAAGCATTAACGCCCCACCGCCGCCACACACAGCACAAGCGGTGAGCGCTCTCGCCGGCTGACACCGCCGCAGCAGATTGCGAGGGCTTGCTGGATTGAATCGGGCAGCGGGCATTGCAAGTTGAGCTGTCTCCTACTGCTGCTGCTGCTACACCAGTGAGCTGCCGGCTGTAAAGTGGATGCACGTGCGCAAGCGGTACATGGGTATAGACTGTGGATTTAGTTTTGTGTGTTTGTTCTTGTGTGTGTGTGTGTGCGCATGTATGTGTTTGCATGGGGAGCGGTAGTGTAGTGGTTAGCGGACCGCGCTACAAACCCAGGCACCCGAGTTCGATTCCCACTCATGGCCAACACCAGTGACGATTATCTGAACCGATCCTGGGCCTCCCCGAGGTCGACTCAGCCTCAAATGAGTACCTGCTGCGGTGTGTAAACGTCGCCACAAGGCAGACAAAGGTGGCCGGGCGTGGTGCTGGCCACCCACCTGCTCGTGTGCCGTGCCGGCTTTCATAGGTGCAAGCTAACAGTACTTACCCCAACAGTCGGTCAAAGACTATACGGGGGATCTTTGTCTTTGTATGTGTTTGCAGTACATGCACATGGACCCGTGCGGCCAAGTCTGTGCGGGTCTGCGTGTGTGTGTGCCGAGTATGCATGGCAACGCCGCCGCAAACAGCAAGGTCACACCGAGGTTCTCCTGCCACAGTTGCCCCGCTAATTTGACAGCAAACGCCGAACCCCGCGGCGGGCTCCCCTCTCTCATCTGCAGCTTCAAGTGAAATCACCGAAGACGGTGAACGTTGCTCAACCCGAGCTCGCCCACCGTTAGATCAGTTTCAAACTACCCCCCCCTCCACTCAGACCCCGTGCAACAAAAAAAACTCAGAAAAATTGCACATTTACTCGAATTAATATCGTCCTCGGGCGGACCGACTCGCCAAGCCAACAGAGAGGCAAAAGTGTAGTTAAGGTGAAACATCTTTTTAAAGAACTCAAGGATTTCTACTGATTTGAGCGTTTAATTTTCTGCACATGCTGCTGCTGCTGCTGTTATTGCGCTGGACCCACCTGCATCAGAATCCGAATCAGAAACTTTAGACTGGAGGGATCCGATGAGCTACGAAGCTCTTTTGTTTTCACCCCCCCCCCCCAACAGATGTCTATTTTGGGGGCGACCTGGTCAGTGTTGCGCTGCTCACAGCGCCAATCCTGCGCGGGTGCTCGTGGAGCGGGGTCCAGACGCCAATTGAGGATGAACAATGAGCGAGGGGGACCGCTTTCACAGATCGCGAACGCTCTCCACGCCATCGCGCTCCGCTTTAACCGCCGTCCGCAAAAACGGCGCTCGGTAAGGGAGCGGCGGTCGCTGGGGGGGCGACTCGAAAGTCGATTCGTGATAATATTTTTTTTTTTCCGGGTGAGACCGCGTGAATGGAAAATGTAAAAACCACCTCCACCCGACGCGGCCAAATAGTGAGGTTTGTCACGTGTTCAATTAATAATTAATTTATTTGTAAGGCGCTTTCCACTAATGTCTCAAGGCGCAAAAAGGTAAACGCGCAACTTCCGTAGGCGTCTTGGCCTCATGTTAAAGTATCCTGCTTGCGATGTTAAGCTGAGTCTGTTTATCCAATTTGTGTGTTATGGGCAACCACTGTTTTGTTATTGATTTTCACTGTCGGGACAATTATAAAAAAAAAACATTTTTTAACACAATTGTCATTTATCTGACGGCAACAACAAGAGCAACGGCAAAAGAACACACGAATCACACATTCTCTACGTTGCACTCTTAAAAGTCGCACTGTAATTATGCGCGC